AGGAGAAAAGAGAAAGAAGAAAAGAAAGGGAAAGGTACAAAATAGGAAGGGAATAAAACAACCAGCTAATATTTATTGAGCACGTACTAAGGAGCAGGCACTGTTCAAAGTGTTTTACTTATACTGAGTCATTTCATATTCACAACAGTCCTCTAAGAGAAATACTATCATTATCCTTATTTTTGCAGATAAGGCAACTAAAGTAGAAAGTCTAAGTGTCTTACGCAAGTCACAGTCCGTCCATCAGTGAGTCTGGGTTTTGAAATCAGGCAGTCTGACTCAAAGAGCTGACCGCTTTGCTATACTGCTGAGTTTGGAGAACCCTCAGAGATCAGAGACCTGTGTTAGATACTCGGTGGAGTTGATGTCATACTAAAGAGCACAGACCCCAAATAACTATGTTGAACGCCTGAAACTAATATAATATTGTCTGTCAACTGTAATTGAAAAAATTTTTAATTATTAAAAAAAAGAGCACAGACCCTGCTTAGACAGAGGTGAGTTCAATTTTCTTCCCCTACTTCTTAGATTTCTCTCAGTTTCCTCATCTCTAAATTGGAGATAATAGCATTTAGTTCATAGAATAATTGTAAGGATTTCACAGCCGAAAACATTTAGCACAGTGCCAGAACATAGAATGCGGCAAACCTTCGTTTTTGTCTCACGCAGTTCTCACAAGGACCCTATGAAGGATGCATTATCCCCATCTCACAGATCTGAAAACTGAAACTCCAAGAGGTATCCAACCTGCTAAGGTCCCATGCTTAATAAGGGACCTTATTAGGGGGTGGGGAAGAAAAGGATAGAGAGAAGAGAGAGTGGAGGGAGGAGGAAAGGAGGAAGGAGCAGGCTCTGTGAGGGACAAAAGGAGGAAATGTAAGAAGAAAATAGAGCCTGCTGTAGTGAATGCCACTCTGTGGTTACCTCAGGAGGCCTCAGGGTTTTTGAGATGACATCTCTAATCCATACAAGGCTGATTCACTCACCCAGAGCGCTCCTTTCATTCAGGTTGTGTCTCGTTGTGACACATGAGGACGTCTGGACTCCCACCAAATTCCTTAAGGAATTATTTATCCCTTAAGCTTGAAGTCTCAACAAACTCAGAGCACATGTCTAGTTAAAGAAAACCCCTCATTGTATTGCACGTATCCATCCAACCTCAGCATCTCTTTCGTACCTTAAAACCACAGATCGATGTTTCTTTAACTTACTTGCTCAATGTAAATTATTGCATAAGCATGAAACCAAAAGTTATACCACCAGGTATAGTATCTAGCCCTTTTCTGATAAAATTTTACAAGTTAGTCTGTAATTGAACTCCAACTAGAGCAAAGGTTTTGCAATGATCACTATAAAAATTTAGCGTATAAGTTATATTTATCCACTAATATATGTATTTTAGTTTCTTACTGCTGCTGTAACAAATTACAACAAACTTAGTGGCTTAAAACAAACCAAATGTATTACCTAACAGTTCTGGAGGTTAGAAGTCCAAAATGGATTTTATGGAATAAATACAGGTGTCAGTAGAGTTTCATTCCTTTGTTCCTTCTGGAGGCTATAGGGGAGAATCCATTTCTTTGACGTTTTTTCACGTTTCCCAAGATTTATTTATTGTCAGAAGATGGGGCATCTCACACCCATGGCTGAGTCACCCTGCCCTGCCCCTCAGAGCTTCATGCCATCCAGGGTACCATCCAGTGGTATCATCTAGTGATGGAGTTTCTTGTTGTGTTTTGACTTTTCTGGTTACTAGAGGCTGCCAGCATTCCTTGGCTAGTGGCCTCTTCCTCCACCTTCAAAGCCAGGAGTGTAGCATCTTGAAACCTCTTTCTCTAACCACAACCCTTACTTCTGTCATCCACATCTCTGTCATTCCATCTTCTCCCTGACTCTGACCCTCCTGCCTCCTCCTATAAGGACCCTTATGATTATATTGAGCCCATCCAGATTATCCAAGATGATCCTCTCATCCCAAGATCCTTAACTTATGTAAATACACTTGCAAAGCCCCCATGTAAGGCAACATATTACAGGTTCTGGGGACTGGGCCATGAACGTCTACCATAATATGCTACCTAATTTTTTCAGCTCATTGATTTTGAATAATATGTAGAAACTCAAGACCCAATAGCTTTACCAACAAATACTACCTCATCACCATCACCTTCCGGGGGAATCGAAAACTTGATGCAAGAACCCAGGGCAGGTGTCATTGGCTGTCACTGTTCTTACAGGCTATAAAAAGTCCTGATAAATTTTGTCCAATGTTGTCCTTGCATTTTCACCATTAGAAAGAAAAATTAGGGTCAGTTCCTCTCAATTTCTATTTGAATATTCAAATTTGTATTTTAATAAATGGCACAGGTTTGGAACCCCTTTATACTGCCAGGAACCCATTTTTACTTCATACTTCTAAAGTGAGAGCCAAAGGTTTCCATGACCAACTCAGATGGCCCTACTCGCACTGCTTTCTTGCACAGAACAATCTTCTCAGCCTATCAGAGGAGCTCCTGTCTACCTGGTCCTATCAATAGTTACAAGCCTCAGAAATCAAGCCCTCAGACTTTCTATTTGACTCTGCTGGCATGGAAGCCTGCTTCCTGCATGGAAGGATGAAACTGTACGTCAAACAAAATGCTAAGGATCTGTTACCAGTCCATGTAGAAGGGGGAGACTAGATGTAGCATTTGGATCATATGGGACAGACTGGAGGAGCACCCAGTGGGTTAGCCTTTTATGGTTTCCCATAGGGCCATACTGCCTCCTTAGGGGACATTTGAAACATTTGATGGGCGGGGGGCAGGAGTCGCTATAGGCATTTGTGTGGAAGGAGGCCAGCATTGCTAAACTCAATGCATAGGACGCTTCTGCACTATGATACATTGTCTCACCCAAATGCTAATAGCACCCCTGTTGAAAAGCAGATAGTCCTCTCCCTGTGACTCCTCACCCACATTTACTTCAGTCACCTCTGCTCCTCTTTCCCCCAAAGACCCACTGTTTTCAGCATAAAAGGATATTTAAGCAAGTTTTTGTGCTCCAGAAGCAGCAGTTAATGCGCCAAACAACACTGTACGGTAGCTTAGGTGAAAACACTACTATTAATAGTTTGTAAAGATTGGCCACTTGTCCACAGACTGAATTAAAAATGAGAGGCCCTAAATTCTAAAACTGATTGTTATTCCTCTCCCCCGTGCAATTAAAAATAAAAATGACACTAAGCCAAAACATAAGAAAGTCTCACTTTGGTAAGAAAGTTCTGATCTGTCATCTGGTGACTACTGTGATTTTTAAAAATAAATGTCAAATGCTTTAACATTTATTTTCCTCACTGCTTTTGCCCGTTTATTGCTGCACATTGGGTGAAAATGAAAAAGAACTCTTCATCTTAAGTTTGCTTATAAAGGTTGTTGGCAGCTCAGTGATGGGGAAGGAAGTTAGATCTCTTGCTGAGCTCCAGTTCTGGATCCACACTTACTAATTAGATGACTTTGGGTAAGGTGCTTAATATCTGTTTGCAAAACGGGAATGTAATATGCCAAATGGTTTGTAAGGATTCGATGAAAATGCATGTGCCTGGAATGTGATAAATGTTCAGTATATTTTAGCTATTAATATAATATTATTATTGTACCTTCTTCCACTGCAGCCATTCCTCAAGATTCAAACACCTTGAGTGACTGGATGGGCCTAGAGCCTGAGGAAATAAGAAAATGATAGCCCTGACTTCACAGAGTTTACAACCTGAAAGGGAAAGGAGTTTGTAAATAAGCAAAAGCAACCACGTGTCATACGTTGATTTAAAAGCAAAAAAGGCTATACAGGTGGCTCCTCCGTTTACCATGAGGTTACGTCCTGAGAAACTCATTGTAAGTTGAAAAGATTCTAAATCGAAAATGCATTTAATACTACACTGTGGAGTACGGGTTGTTGACCCTCATGATAATATGGCTGAATGGGGGCTGTGGCTCCCTGCTGCTGCCCAGCATCACACGAGTATTGTATTATATATCATTAGACCCAGAAAAGATCAAAATTCGAAGTATGGTTTCTAGTGAATGAGCATCGCTTTTGCACCATTGCCAAGTCAAAAAAATCATAAATCGAGGACTGTCTGTATAGCATGCAGCTTTGGGGGGAGGAGGGAG